TGCCCTCCACACAGCAGTCAGGTAGAGAGATTACTTCCTCCAGCCAGGGCTCTCCTCACCTCCTCCACGCACTGCTACATTCTTCCCACGCCCTCTACATTGATCAATCTATTGTCCTCTCCCTCATTTCAATGGAAGCTCCACGAGGCAGGGGCTCTATGTGTCCTCAGGCTCTATCACCGGCTGGCCCAGAGCAGGCTCTCAGTAAGTATTGCTGAAGGAATGAACAAACCCCACACTACTTATTTAATAAGCATGACCACTCAACAATTTATAGTCCATAGAAACAATATGAAGATCATGAGAGCAGAAATCTTTAAAAATTAGTAATGTTATTATAACTCAGGTGAACAACTTTATTAATCACTTCCAACTTCAACAGCAAATCAAGGAAGAAAGTAAAAAGTCACGTCAGGAGCCAAGTCAACATAAACAAGATCACTCTTCACAGTTAATTGTTCTAACCTAGCCTCTCAATGACTTCCTTATCGAGCCCTAAATTCAGTGACTCCACTGTGACTGCAGGACTAATCTGAATTCCACAGCATGCAGGAAGGCCTTCTGCATTTTGGTCCTTGTCTGTCTCTCCATCATTGTCTCCTGCCATCTTGTCTTCCACTCCAGCAACCTCCAAACTACCCCATTGCGAACCTTCATGCCGTGACAGGAGCCTCCTCCTCCATCATCCATGTGTGACGTCCACCATCCTTCCAGACTCCACGTGAGGGCTGACAACCCTGTGATGGACTCTCTGATTTCTCTAAACAGAATAAATCTGCCCCCTCTTGGGTGGGGCTATTTAGATTATCTATGTCATTTGCTTAGATGTCAGTCTTCCTCTAGACTACAAACATCTCCAAGGCAAGCAGTGATGTACACACCTTCAGTCTCTGTGCCTGGTACACTACACACCCTTAGTAAGCTGTTTACTGGAAGAACACATAAACAGATGTCCGTCCACTGTTATAAACTTTCATTCTCCCATTGCTGTCCCTCCCAGCTAGTAACCTCTCAGCCAATGACAAGAGACCACCAGGAAGTTTATGGAACTTTAGGGAACACATAATACCTGCTGGGCACTATCTTATTAATCTTTTCGTTAAATCAGAATTCCTCTCTGAAGTTGGTGCTAATATATTCATTTTACAGATTAAAAAAGAAAAAGAAAAAGAAAAAGAAAAGAAACTCAGAAAAGTTAAGCCAACAGAAAAGAACCTAGAAGGGCTTAGAGTCAAGCCTGAGTCCATGCTCCTTCTGCTACCCTATCTGACTTCAAATGCAAATTTCATTTTATTCTTTACTATTTCAGAAGGGTGTTCTCTTCCCAATGGTCCACCATCATATTCTTACCTCTTAAACCATGTCCCCAAGTAGCCCTCAGATGGCACTTGCTTACCTAGCTTCTCCCAGTCTATTGGACATAACTCATGTTACTCACTCTTCCAGATCTTCTTGCCTCAAAAGCCTGACCAACTGTTTCCACTGCCTTGTAGTTCTTCAGTGTTTTTTTCTGACCAAGTCACTTGGATGGCTTTGAAAGAATTTGCAAGAACATATCATGTATACCAAAAAGACATGGAGCTTTCTTCTGTCCTTAAAAAAACTGGTTCAGGTCAAAAAAATTGACTGTTAACTCTGACCTGCAGTATACCAACCCTAGGGACACAGGGATAACAAAACAGAATTGTTGACCTTGAAGAGCTTTTAGGTTAATGGGAGGACTAACAAGTGAGAATAGTCTTTCAATGCGATGGGCTAAGACATTTTTCTGGATGATTACTCACGGCATAAATACAAATCTACAAAAACAGGACTTTGTCCATTGTGAGGGTATCAGAGAAACCTTGCTGGAGGAGGTGATGCCTGAGCAGCATCTTTAAAAGACAAGCAAGAAATAATCAGGCAAAGGGTTAGAGGAAGAGCACTTTAGCGAGGACAGCTATGGTTTGTAATAAGTGCTGGCATCACTCTGCAGAACCTGGAAAGGTTTCTGATTCCGTTTTTGTGTGTTCTCACTGAAATTTTTACAAGTGTAGGGTTTGAGTCAGTAATGAATAATTCAAACAGGACCCAGGGCAGATGCTTGATGGAAGTCCATTTCCATGACCATGGCCATCACTGCCATTATCACTTCATTTTTTTCTTTCAGGATCTCTCTGTGGAACGGACTGATAACTCCTGTGAGATGAGTTAGGGCTTTCAGAACACTAGGCTCCATTTAGGGGCCTGAGGAAGTCATTTTCTAAACAGCATCCTGGTACAATCCAGTCACAGGACTCAGCGTGACCACCCCAGAGGGAGCACTGGAAGAGAAACTCCATCTTCTGCTTCCAAAGCACATCCCTGATGCCCTGTTTTCGCCTTACCTATAATTCTGTCTATGAACCACCCAGATTCCGTCATAAGCTGGACAAAGAGCTCTCTGTACACAACAAATTGATGTGGCTTGACTCAAGCACTTATTAGAAATCATTTTCAATCACTCCCATTCTGGGAAATTAAGTTTCATGTTTGCTAATGCATTTTGTTATCACTTAATAAAGAAACGGTCTCCTCCAATTTTAGTAAGTCATGAACTTTGATGCCAGAATGCCTCTTTGACAGCGTCTAGAAATAGACATTTTAATACTCCAGCAAGGCAAGAGGGCAGTAGTTGAAAAAGCTAAATCATTAAAACCAGAAAGATTTGGGTTTGAATTGTGGTTCTGCCAATTATTAGTTCTGTGACTTGGGCACATTAATATAATAAATGTCTCTGGACTTTAATTAACTCATCCTTAAAATGCAAGATCATTATGAAAATCAAAGAAAATGTGTCAGGGAAGTGGCACACATTGGCCTCTCTCAATAAATGGTGACTATAATCCATACCTCACTTAAAATTTTTAATTAAATTTTGAGATCTTCCACTTGTAGATTATAGCCCAAATGAGCAAACAAGAGATTAAAAATAGCTTTAAATACATTGATAAAAAGTATCAAGTAACAGATTCAATTTCTTAGAATTCCTATAGAAAATGTCATCTTGGGTCAGTTGTTCAGAAGTAGATCCAGAGAGCAGTGTTCATGGCAAGTGATTTATTAAAAGAGAGTTCCCAGGAGAGCGAGGAGCAGGAAAGGGGAGAAGCAGCAGCCAAGGGCGGCTGCAGTTTCAGGTGAAGTCTCAGCCTCAGCCTGATCCTGCAGGGAGCTCTGGAGTATAAGTTACACAGACCCTACAGAGAGCTTGTAAATTATTCCACGGAGTTAACCCAGCCTGAAGGCAAAGGAGCTACCTTTCTGCTCCTAAACCAATGAGTCATCAGCAAAGAAGGGGTTAATGGAAGAGCATGGAGGGTACTGAACATTCAGCCACGTGCATGCGCTGGGGTAGGGGAGGAGCTGCCACTAGCTCAAGGCTAGCCCTCTGAAGAAGGTCTCAGGTGCTAGCCCTGAGGAGTGATTGTACACAGAAGCCAGGGGAAGTGCCCAGGACCAGTGAAAGGAGTTTGCGGGCAGCTGAGCAGAGCAGGGACAACATCTGCAAGATTAATTAAGAGAATTTCACGGACACATATCTGTGCTGACTCTGCTTTCTAATCACTGGAGTTGTTCCATCACCAAATAATGTACATTTCACTGCAAATGCATTCATTTTCTCTTGTAATTTACAAAAACTAAGTTTGAAGTAAGTATTTTCTAGGAGTATAAAATTCTATTTTGAAGGTTTGCCCTCAGGCATCAAAAAAAAAAATGAGCTCTTCAACCTATTACAGTTAGGGTTTTCTGTTGAAGAAAGTTGTGCCAGTCACTGATAGAGGGGACAGACCCTGCTCAGAGAGAAACGATTGGAAAAGGGCAGTGGCCAACTCTCCAAATGTGGAGAGAAAAACTGGCAACAGCAACTCCTGGGCTCTTTCACATATGCATATTCATTTAACCATCCACAGAGCTAGAGAGCCTGGGATGCTATTTAAAATGAGTTACGTAAGGGGGGGGGAGGGTATAGCTCAGTGGTAGAGCGTGCTTAGCCTGCATGAGGTCCTGGGTTCAATCCCCAGTACCTCCATTAACAAATAAATAAATAAACCAACATAATTACTTACACACACACACACAATTTTTTAAATAAAAAAATAGTTGTGTAATCTATGCATCTGGGTAACACAGATCTATACTACAGAGATTCAAGGTTGCTTTACTCAAATAAATTCTCATAATGTAAACATGTAATTTCCTATACCTTCGTATCCTTCCCTGCAGAAAGGGTAAGCTGACTTTAAGACTTCAGGTCACAGGGACTCAATGGAGACGGCAACTGAATAGGTAGACTGGGTCACAAAGTCACCTGAGAATTAGCTAATATGTTATTATAAATGACTATAAGAGCATGAAATAAAATTTTACAATAACACATGCCATTAATTTGTTAGGGTTGTGAAATTTTCAAAATTTTCCAATAACGTCTATAATTTGGCAATTTATATTTTAAGGCGACAATATCAGCACAAACACTTTATAAGCAGATACATCAAAATAAAATTCATGAAGAATTTCTGAGAGGCCCAACAGACAGATAACACTGATGATTAATGGACAACTTGGGCTTCTGCACCTAACAAGTTCCCATTATAAACAAACAGCCAATAACTACAACGGCTGCCACCAAAGGGCAGGGGCTGTTTTCTACTTTTCAGCTCTCAGAACACCACGGGAGCTCAGAGGATGAATGGAAAATACCCAGGGGTGTGGAAAGGGTGGGAGGAAGGGATAGGATATGGCCTCAGAACCACTGTCTTCAAATAAAATTCTCAATCATTACTACTGTTACGAAGTGTCTGCAATGAGCTATTATTTTGAGGTGAAACATTTTGCTAGAGTTGGTGCTAAAATGATAGGATGAAGCTACTCAGACTTGGCCTCTCCCACTCTCTGAATTCTGAGAATTCCATCTAATTATAGTCTTCTGCTTTCCCACGCCTTGTTTTGTAATTGAAAACATTTGGAATTGATAAGAATCTGATACGTAGTATAAGATGCTGAACAGAGGGAAAACTGAGAAGTCCAACCAAAATGAATACTGTCCAAGAATCTGTGCCAATGAATGGGATTATCCAAAACTGTGATCATTGTTTTCCTTTTTAGGTTTTCATTATGCAAGTCTGTACATGGCAGGTGCATCTTTTCAAATATGCTTTTTTTTTTTTTGCTGGTAATATCTGAATGTGTTTCTCTGAATTTGCTAACCTACAAGCATATTAAGTGATGGGTAAGAGAACAGACTGGAATAAATACATATTACTGGGCACTTCATAAAGAGGAAGATCTACACGACAACCATGAAGTCTTGGGAAGGACCCAATGCACAGGTCTTATGTGGGAAGGATAGAGAGGGTTCTGTTCTCCACCAGTCAGGCCAGAGGGTAGGGGCAGTGATTTGGGGAAAGAAAGAAGAAGAGGGACGCTCCCAAAGGTGATGATCAATCAACTGCTCCCCAAAGAGAGAGAATAAGAAGAGGAGGAAGCACAGAGATAGAAAAGTACATTTCAGGAGCTCTGGTCATAGAATAATTAAATCCCACCTACCCCGACCCCTATTTGGTGATTCAAGAAAGAAGACTGTTGCAGGCCACAAGACAGCAAAGTATTATTAGTAAATTGTTGAGAGGATAATAAGCAAGAAGATCAAGTGATCTCTTCTGCTCTGGAAATGCACAGCTTCAAAAACTTGCAGCCTGACTTGAAGCTCTAGCCTTGTCTTTCAAGCCAAAGGAACACCATGCAGAGGACATGGCTCTACTTAATGTTAAATCATCATGATGAGGAAGAACAGCAGCATTCCCACCGTGTCCTTGCTCACTCATTTTCATTTGAAAACACATCATTTGAGTTTTCAAACAGTTGGTGCTTTTCTCCCAATGGCAACTGGACATCTCAGAAAAAGAGAATTGACTCCAATGACATCAGCCATGAAATTAACTACAGCGTAATGGCCCAGCCCTTCGAGTGAACTTGGCTGCATAAAAGGAATCAGAGGGCAGGTGAGAAGGAATATAAGAAAACTCAAGTCACAACTCAAAGCCCAGATCCTATCCCTCTCTGGTCCTAAGTGGCCATGGTCTTGTGAAAACTAACAACCACAGTATCCCATGGGTGTATAACGCTGGAGAATGCAGACAATCAAAAACTCGAGAAACCATCATTTCAGAGTGTGTGTTGCATGTGTGACCTGCATGTATACGTGTTTGAAGGCTGGGGGGTGGGAGGGGGTGGAGATCATGGTCCTGAAGTGAAGCTGATCTTGAGTCTGACACGGAATTTTCTCCATACCCTTGTGTCATGAACTTCTCACCCGGATCTCCAAGAAATATCCTTTCCTCCAGTCATCTTCTGTCAGACACCAATTCAATACATTAATCCATTAGTGTCATCCACATTTGAGCTCTTTACATATACTTTTACAACTTACACCTTATCCAAGTACTCTTCACTCAGAGAAAAGTCTTTGGAAGGCCTGTAAGTCCCTATACACGCTGCACTGCTGCCTCCTCTCTGATCCCTCCTACTGCTCTCCCCACCCCACCCCTACTCTGCTCCAGCCACACTGGCCTGTGCTGTTCTTTCAACAAGCGGAGCTCGCCCCAGCCTTTGACCCTTGCATGTGCTGCTCCCTCTGCCTGGAGTGCTGCTCCCCCAGATATCAGAATGCTCACTCCCTAAACTGCCTTTGACTCTTGACTCAAATGTTATCTTAGCAGGCCTTTCTGAACTATTTAAAAATAACACAACCCTCACTGTCCTCCTCTTATGTTGTTTCACTTTATTTATAGCATTTGGAATTGGCTATACATTACGTCTATGTATCTTGCTCTGTTTTTTGTCTCTCCCCCAACAGTAGAGTTTAAGCTTCATGAGGCAGAAACTTTGTTTAGTATTAAATTTCCAGTGCCTTAGAATAGTCTGATTAAATAATCATTTTAAAATTGAAATCAATTAATATTTTTCTTTATTTCATATTTTTAAAGCTTAAGCCTTACCCTAAACAGTGACGTCATGAAACCAAGAGTATGATGTGCCAGGTATATTTTTTTCTAAAAAATATTAAAATAAATATAAAACTCAAAATTAAAGCTGTTAACCCCTGAGCACATCTTAAAACCATCTTGTTACTGCTGATGATATATGTCCCCAGCTCTGAGAAATACAGTATCGCCCAATGGCAACACATACCAGTGGCAATACTTCCTAGGGACATCCAGTAACAGTACACACTAGCGCTTAAAGTGATGAATTTGGAGTGGAAATAAAATTTGTTTATTCTTATAGTATTTTTTCATCTCACAGCATAAAACATTAAAGGCGTAGTCCTGAGGCCTGGCTTCCAGCCATGAACCTGCCACAAACCAGCCGTGTAACCTTAGGCAAATCGCTTTAGTTCTCTGGGCCCCAGTGTCCTCATCTCTGTAATAAACAGCTCGGGATGGTTCCTAAGCTCACTGGCAGCTCACATTGTCTTTGATTCTACTAACAACCACAAAGTTGCAGAAGAGAATCCTAAAGCAATTAGGTTTATTATACCTTTAATCACCATAAAAAGGAAAAATAGAGAATTTCCATGAAGCTCGACTGACTTTGAGAAGCACACAAAAAATTTATGAAATAAAATAATATTTTGAATACAGTGATACTGCGACTATAAATCTTTTCTGTAACCCCATGACCCTCCCCAGTGTAAGAGCTGGATTCCAAACATCCACGGCCTTAAGGAAAGGTGAGCCAGGATCCAGGTGAACTAAAACTAAAAAGTTAAAATTCTTGGTCAAAACCAGAATTTCTTTTTTTGTTTGTTTTTTTTAAACAAAAGCTAGTATGTAGAAGGAATGGTTTAATTAGAAAAACATCCTTCTGCAACACTGAGAAGTTAAATATTTATTTCAGAAAAGAATCAGAACTGAATACTAAGCCCATTATGTTCAAGTTTTGCAGGAAGAAGATATTTGCTAGATGTCAAACCATCACTCTATAAACAACCTACCAATTGCAAAGGTAAACTTACATATACAAAGAAAGGATCTGGTGGTCACCATTTTTAAAACGTGGTCGAACCTACAGTAATAGTGTATCAACCTGACATTATGTGCTTCTAATTGTGATACCATGTGAAGTGCACAGCACTTCTGTGATGTCTTTGTCCCCAAAACGTCTCACCTGAATCTAATCAAGTCTTTAGAAGTAAGTTCCAGTTCACAGGAAGTATGGGGTAAATGACAAGGAACCCCACAAGAGAACTATCAGGTCCCACCAGAATGAACAACATTCTGCAGGACAACTGCTTGGTCAAATGTCCAGAGGGGAAAAAATAATGGGCAGCATTCTGGACTGGAACAGACCAAAGGAACACAATGACCAAATGCAGTGCGTGAATTCTGAGTTGATCTTGGTTTGAAATA